GTACATTCGAAGTCATTTAAAAACATAGTTGATTGAGATCAAAATTAGTAAAATACATCAGCACATCAAAATAAAACTACAGAACGACAGGAAATCAATTGAAATTCAAATATTGATCGACACTATAAACTATGTATAAACTATAAACTATAATACATGACATAATACAGATTGATACACCTAAACCGCACAGTTTAGGGGAAAAATCGTTTTACAATACCAACAGGTACTTTCCTAGAAATGACGAAACCATCTCGAGGAAACTCTTCAAGCAATAAAGTAGTGGTATTATTATTCTTGAGAACAATGTTTTTCTCCAAACGGGAGACCTTCCAAATTGAATCCATTTGGCACACTTCCATCAATAACCCTGTGATAACACAGTTACAATGATTTTTGCAAAACAAATATGACACTTTGAAACCCAATGAAATAACCTTTCAGGAACTTAAAACAAGGTTGAAATCGGTTGTGTCCTTCGAATTTTATACTCTTTTGAATGAGAGGGAAAATATGCATCGTTACGTCACAATAAGCAGTTTATTAGTTCAATCTTAATGTTTATGAAACCCTCATGATTAGAAATCAATGATATTCCTTTGTGTACTAGTGGTCGCACCATGGAGACACAACTCCAATAATTTATTCATAAGGTAGCCATATACTGAAGAACATGCGTAAATGTCTCTTCCACAAGCGTCATTTAGGAGGGGTGAAGGGGGGTTGCCCCCCTGGTTTTCTACAGAACAATACTTATCATTTAAAAAAAAATAAAAAATCTTCCTGTATCAATAACACAAAACGGAAGAGAGAGGGAGAACAGTATAGAATTAGGGATCAACCACAAAATATTCCTGAATAGGGAAGTGAATATCAGAATTTCCTCAATTGTGAAAATTGACACCTTCGGTCATTTGAAAATATCAAGGAACGCTATTGACAGATTCTTTTTCTATCTAGCATATGTAGGTACTTCCGCCGACTTCTTAAATACGTCCAGACGGCAACGTCTCTGATACGTCCTGCAGCAGACGTTTTCAAGACGTCTATTCCTGGACATATCTGAGACGTACTGATACAGACGTCTCAAAGACTTCCATTTTATGCCTGTGGAAATTTATTAATGAATATTCAAATCCAGTGTTCCCACTAAAAAGAGTCAGCAATTTAATATTTCTGGGCTATGATGAGACATCTTTGGGACGTCCATTTCTGGAGGTCTCTGAGACGATATGCTCAAGATCACCTTTCACCAACGTACTATGAGCAAGATTTTATTGGGTCTCAACACCAACAAAGCTTGTGGCTCCGACGGAATCTCACCGATTGTTCTCAAGAAATGTGATCCCAAACTAACACCTGTTCTCTGCAAGTTGTTCAACTACTCTTACAAATTGGGGATATTCCCGTCCAACTGGAGAATTGCAAGAGTACAACCAGTTCCTAAAAAAGGCAAAAAGACCCTACCTAGCAACTACAGACCGATCGCACTGCTATCTGTTATTTCAAAGATCATGGAAAAAGCTATCAACATCGAGCTCAAGAAATACCTGGCACATTCAGGTATTATCAACGATAGACAACATGGCTTTCGTAATCAGAGATCAACTGGTGACCTGCTCGCTCACGTCTCACATATAGGGCAGCAATCTATTGGAAAATATGGTGAAACCTTACCCGTGGCACTTGATATCTCCAAGGCATTCGATCGAGTCTGGCACCACGGACTCCTCGCCAAGCTTTCATCTAATGGCTTGCCTCCCCAGCTATGTTCTCTGCTAGCAAGTTTTCTCTCAAACAGGTCTCTCCATGTAGTGGTCGACGGAGTTTCATCTGACTCTCTTATCATAAATGCTGATGTTCCGCAAGGATCAATTCTAACACCAACACTATTTCGACTCCATATCAACGATTTGTTGGAAGCACCTTCATGTCCAGTACACAGCTTCGCGGATGATTGTACTCTCCATACCGCCTTCCCTTCCAGGGCTCCAATACCAGCCAGGCAAATTAGAAGCGAACGAGGGAGAAATGTTGGCAACATAAATATGGACAACAACAATTCTCGATTGGGGATCCAATAACTTGGTAGATTTCAATGCAAACAAAACACAAGCATGCTTTTTCTCTAGAAAAGTCGATCTTCAGGAGTAACCATACCTTTGAAGACATCCATTTCGATCAGCAATAACCTTTTTTTGGAAAATCACGTCAGATCAATTGCTAAAAGTGCATCCCAAAAACTTGGTTTTCTGTTTCGGGCCAGGAGCTATTCCACTTCCAGTCAGCTGCTTATGATCTATAAGGCACAGATCCGACCTGTCCTGGAATACTGTTCCCATATTTGGAGTGCAGCACCCAAACATACCCTGGAGCTGTTGGATTCTGTCCAAAAAAGGGCAATTCGTCTCGTAGATGATGCCTCGCTCACAAACTCATTCACTTCTCTGAAACATCAAAGAAAAGTTGGCAATCTGGCTCTATTTTATCGATATTTTCATGGACGATGCTCTTCTGAAATATCAACAATTGTTCCTTCCTTGAAAGTCCCCTCGAGATTAACCCGTCGAATTGAGGCTTCGCACCCCATCGTGGTCACTTTGAAGACCTGCAGAACATCTCTCTCCGAAGACTAGTTCATCCAACGAACAGCGAGGCTCTGGAACACATCGCCAAGGAAAGTGTTCCCCGAGGCATAAAACCTACAGAAATTTAAGAAGAACACCAATTCCTACCTTATTTTCCTTGGTTCTCATGATGTTCTCTGAACATTACAGGATATCCCTCTTCGTGGGTACCCGAACATACAAAACAACTTTATTATCACTTGGTCATACTTTAGGTAACGCTTATTCCGTTATACTTCAGGTTACTGTTGAGGTCGAATTTTAGGTTACACCGACGCTCGACATTGGAAAGAAGAGATCGTTGGTACGGTTCATTTAGCCTAATTGCCGCCGTAGCTTCTGCCACATTCGCCACTTAGCTGGCGTGTCTCTCAGCATCCAATGAAGTGCAGCATCTGGTTTCAATAACCTAGCAGTAGGTATGTCTAACTAAATAATCAGTAGGCAGGAAATGCTCTCCACAAAGCTTGCTGGTCTAGGAACTGCCTTAATCCATAATTCAAGAATAATGTCTGAATGGAAAACTGCAACAAATAATATTACTTAATATGTTCATGGAAAAGTCATGGAAGTATTTAACTTTGACAAATGATATAGGTATAGTTTTAGAACATATTCTGAGACTGGGAACATTGTGCACCTAACTGATGATCATTTCAAGAACTATATTTTCCAAAAATCCAAACAATTATTCAACTTACCCATGGAATGACAATTTCCGTTTGTCTTGCTCATTCTTGCATTCAAAGGCGACACAAATCAGCATTGTTTATCAAAACCATCTCAACAATCAGTTCACAGTGTTGACACCAACAAATTCGGTCCTTTTTATAAAACAGAACACGCCAAATGAATACATTTTTCACATAACCAAAGACAATGAACTTATGTCTTCACTTTCTTGCCTGTTTAGATGAGAGAAAACAATCTAAAGTACTTTAATTATTATAGATAAAAGGAAATGTTAACACCAATCCACCATTAAACAACACGAGTAGGAAAGAGACAGGTTACCAAAAATCATGCTATCTTTGTTGCAGCTGCCCCTGACACACTTTATGCTATTCGAGAGAACGGCCGTCTCCCTTCCAGGTGTTTATATTGAGTTAGCTGGCTCAAATGTTATCTAACCGAGAGAACACAATTCGTCAAATTATACATAAATAACACTAAACAATATTCGGACACTGTAATGACAACCAGCGGAGTCCCCCAAGGCAGTATACTAGGACCGATCCTATTCCTTGTTTTCATTAACAACATTACTGATATAATAGGTGCTAGTGATTCTTCAATAATAACATCATTCGCTGATGACACTAGTGCAGCAATCGCCGGTAGAAGCATACCTAATGTAGTTTATTCTGCAAATCAAAACGTAGATAGCATAAACATGCTCTTTCAGCCCGCAGAGTGCCAGAGTGGCCTCGTTTTGAATAAGAAAAAAACAGATTTAATTAATTTTACACCAATAGGTGTCAAACCAGACCACAGCCTTCTGATGAAATGCGACGGTGAAAGCATAATTCCAGCTGAGGAAGTAAATTTTTTGGGTCTATGGCTTGATCCTCATCTAGCATGGGACAACCAGATTGGTCATTTGGTAAAAAACCTAACGAGGAAAAATGTTTCCATTATACAATTAAGAAATCGTGTAAATCTCGACACCCTCAAAATATATTACCATGCTGCAGTTCACTCAATAATATCATATGGACTGATTTGCTGGGGAAATTCTACAGACACCCATAAAGTTCTAACTTGGCAAAAGCGCATACTGAGAAATATGCTACACCTCAAGCCTAGCATTTTCTGTAGAAAGCATTTTCGCGACACGGGTATATTAACTGTATGTAACTTGTATATTCTCCAGTGTCTTATCTACTTGAAGAAAAATATTCATAATTTCCAAACATGTGGGGAAAGAAGTCCCTATTGCTGTACTAGAGCTGCAGATACAATGTATGTTCCACCTTACTCAGTAACCCAAGTGAAGAATGGTCCTAAAATTACAGCCATCAAACCTTACAATCACTTACCTCGTACAATTACTCAGATTAGCTGCTTCAAACAGTTCAAGTCAAAAATTACAAATTTATTGAAAGAAACCCCTTTTTACTCCCTGCAAGATAGTTCTCCGAAAACCAATTTTAACATGTTTTATGTATGTAGATGTTATGTTAGTGATGTTATTACTGCTAGTATAACATATAACGTCATTTTGCTATGTCCCATTTCATTCTACTATTGTTCTGTTCTAGTATTAAGTTTTATATATTTTCTGACCTTGACAATGCCTATACTGATGTATTTCAGTCGATGGAAATAAAGATTTTGTATTTGTATTTGTTCATTGGCCAACCCTTGAAGAAAATGGAGTTCGGCCCCATCCCAGCCACGAAGTTCGACGCCGTGATCGACCATCTGCGACGCAGCTTCCCTGACGAGCCGTTGAACGCCTCCGTAGGCCTCAGCGTACGCGGCCAGCCTTGCGAGATGCTCGAGAAGTACGACTTGCTCACCATGCAGGAAGGCATGTCGGTGATGGCGCTCGATCCGGATACTGGAGAGGTTAGTACCCACAGTGTTGCCAGCTGCTGAACATGCAATGTCGCAAAATGTTAGCAAAAAAACCGCTAGATGTCGCTGAAACGAGCGAAGCGAGCAAAAAGCCCGCCGCATGCGAAATTTTTGAGAATTCAGCGACCCCTTTTCGTGATTTTGCGACATTTTCGATTATATTTCTTCATTTTTGATCAGTTTATAACATCAGATAAAAAATCGTAGGAAACTTCATTTATTCACAATCTGTTCAGAATGAAAAAAACACATGATGAATATAGATGAATTTTCCTTTACAATTTCTTTCGGTACTATTTGTTAGGTTAATAATAATAATAATAATAATAATAATAATAATAATAATAATAATAATAATGGATTTTATTGACAGGTATAGGTAAAAACAAAATAAACGAAAAATGATAGAGAGCTGAGAACTGTATACCTCTCAAACGGCAGAATTCAAGTTCAGATCATGTCACCAGTGATAGTGACGTAATCAGAACTTGCTCTTTCATTCAACCGATAGAAAAAATAAATAATTATCGCTATGTTATACATAAACCTATATAAGTAACCAAATACTGTTTTCGTATTCAACATACATATATACAGGGTGTTTCATAATTAAATGCTGATCCTAAAGGGCGATAATCCTTGGATGATTTTGAGAAAAATTCTTCATGTGAACATAGGTCCGTAACAGCTTCGTTTCTGAGATACAGGATGTTGAAATTTAACGAAGAAAATCAGTTATTCCCCAATATCTCTGAAACCGCTCTGGCTTTTTTTCTTCAATTTTGGTACATGCCAAGTATGCATAGAAATACATTTTTTCCATAATAAAGAATTTTTAAAACAGCTTCCTCAATTTCTGGAGTTCTTGCAGTCCGATGTGCTCCTTTCAAGTGATGATTTGGCTTAAAACTTCCTGTTTCACATAACCTTCTGTGGGTGTTTGAAATCGTCCGAGCATCAGCAACCATTCTATTTGGGAAGCGCTCTTGATACAGTCGCCTGGCTTCATATGCGTTCCCGTCAGCAAGCCCCTGCTAATTCGGTATTTGTAGAATTTAGGGACAAGCAAATGAATGCATTTTATTTTCTAACTCAAAAACCGTTCGCCGGACGAAAAAAAGACAAGAGACCATTTTTATGAGAAGATAGAGGATAATTACAAAAATAATATTTATTTAGAAAAAAGACAGTGGCGTATCATTATTTTGAAGAAAAATATGACAGGGTATGTTAACAGGGACGCCACTGATGGAAATTAAGAAATCCTTTTTTATGGGAAAAATGTATTTCTATGCATACTTGGCATTTACCAAAGCTGAAGAGAAAAGCCAGAGCGGTTTCAGAGATATTGGGGAATAACTGATTTTTTTGTTAAATTTTAACATCCTGTATCTCAGAAACGAAGCTGTTACGGACCTATATTCACATGAAGAATTTTTCTTAAAATCAGCCAAGGATTATCGCCCTTCAGGATCAGCATTCAATTATGAAACACCCTGTATATACCGGGTGACACAGGGTATCGGGCCACCCCTGTAACTTCTGCATTCGTCAACGGATTTTTCTGAAATTCGGTACAGTTATATAAGCAATCATTTCGGATTTGATCACATTACAATCCAATATGGCGGACTTCCGGTATTTCTGGAAATGCCAGCAACTTTGTTTTTTCAAATGAAACACCCTGTATATTTTTACATATTCAAGTTCAACAGGTCGAAACAAGTGCAATCCTTATTTCAAATGTCATTTTCTCGAAAAAAATTAAATTAAAATTGTTTTTTCATTTTACCTCGTGGATAAATGAGATGTGGTCAAGACTATTCACAATGACTCACACATAACAGAAGAACATAATTTTTTCTGAAAAATTATTTTTTGTGTCAGTTATCCATCAGGAATCAATTCAGCCACATCACTTTTTGATCAAAAATTATTTTTTTTCAAATGGAACCCCTCTATGGGCCACCTACCCGTCTCTCTAGACCATACATCAAGGAACAAAATGACATATCATTTTTGTTTTTCGGTGCAGTAACAAATTGTATTCATTCAAAAATCAGCTAGTTTATGAATTTCCTTGCAGTTAGAATAATTTTTCAACTAGGTAGGCTGTGGAATAAATGATATTTGACATCAAGATTGCACTTGTTTTGACCTGTTTAACTTGAATATGTAAAAATATACAGGGTGTTCCATTTGAAAAAACAAAATTGCTGGCATTTCCAGAAAAACCGGAAGTCCGCCATATTGGATTGTAATGTGATCAAATCCGAAATAGTTGCTTATATAACTGTACAGAATTTCAGAAAAATCCGTTGACGAATGCAGAAGTTACAGGGGTGGCCCGATAACCTGTGTCACCCGGTATAGTATATGTGCATCGCATGCACATGTTGGATGCACACCTATACATCAAAGTAACTGAGGCAAAGAGTTATGGAGTAAATCAGATTTCAGTTTTTTCCTGAAATTTGCAATCGATAGTGTTTTCATTGAATTCGGAAGTCGATTGTAAGGCCAGGCGATATTATAGGAGAAAGAGCCACGATAAAGAGTAGTTTTATGAGGTGGTATTGGAGATTATTCCTGAATCTTAGATTAAAATTATGAATGTCAGTTCTATAGCAAATTTTATCGTGGAGATAAGAAGGTTTTTTTGTAGAGATAATTTTATGGAAGAGAATACAAGCATGAGATACACGTCGGGCCTCCATATTTAACCATCCTAAATTATTCAGTTGGTGAGTTATATGCTGTCGCCTTCTGGTCCCAGTAATTAGCCTCAAGCATAAATTCTGTAGGGTCTGTAATCTTTTCCTGTCGGTTTGAAGTAAGTTGGGAGTGTACACAATATCAGCATAATTAGCATGCGATAGAACCAAAGAATTGCATAAAAGTTTCTTGGAATTTTGGTTTAATATTTCTTTATTGGAGTATATCATGTTCAAATTGCAGTTTCCACGCTTTATTATTCAGGACACATGTGATGAGAATCTCAGAGAATGTTCCATAATGAGACCAAGGTTTTTTGAACGATATGTAAGAGGTAGTTGTAGATTATCAAAATTGATAATGATATTACTCTCGTGTCTTCTTCTCATTGCAGCTCGGCCAAATAACAGCATAACTGTTTTTGATGGATCAACTGTTAGGCAGTATTTTTTTGAGATTTGATTGATTTGCTGACATGTAACTCGCACTGAATTTTCCGAGGATTGTTTGTAAATCTGAGTATCATCAGCGTAGCTATGAATACGCGTGTGTCGGAGGCTCTTAGGAAACTGAGATGTGTAGATCACGAATAAGATAGGTCCGAGAATTGATCCCTGTGATACGCCAGTTGAAGTTTCAAGGAAAGTTGATTTCTCTGTATTATTTGATACAACGCATTGTGTCCGACATAATAAGTAATTTTGAATGAGTGATCTAGTAGTTAGCGAAAATCCAAGAAATTTCATCAATGCTATCAAAATCTGATGACTAATTTTGTCAAAAGCATAACTTTTCTCGATCGTTTTTGAGGTTTGTCTTTGATCTTTTCACACATCGATAAACCTGTTGAATCACAACCATGTATCAACTCATATTTCTATTTCAACATCAAACAGATTTGCGACCTCATTGTTATATAAATCGCTGAATTCTTCCTTGAAAAAGTATCACATATGACAATATTTACCTTCAATATGTTTCGTCAATACTACATCAATACATCATCAACTTCTTCATTTCCTCACACGATCGATAATATGAATATTTTATCTCGCCTCAGTACGTTCCTAACTCCAATACCATGAACATGAAGAGGAAAGCTCGCGGTGAAAAAATGACTGAGAAGCGTACACACATGTTGAACTGAACATAATTCCCGAATGGATGAAGCAGCTTTCAATGAAGTGTTACTCATGGTGAAACCTTTTGTAGTCAGAAATGATAATTTTTCTATATAAAAATGGCGTTCTGTCGAATTCTCTGAATTTCTGGTATATTATAGAACTCGACATAATGATCAAATATGCCGAGTCCTTACCTGATCCTATGACCAGTTTTCAAGATACAGGGTGTTTAAGTTGAAGAGAAATGCCCCCTTTTTTATCTACCCATATCTCCAAGAAAAGACAAAAGGATAAAAATTTTCTACTAGACGTTTTCCAGTTTAACCTTTAGGTAGAAGAACCATGTATAGAATCAACCAAAGATGATCTTTATCACAGGGTGATTCACATCTGAATTATTGTGTTTTTTTCAATTTCTAAATATCGATACTACAACTTGAAAAAAATTGAAAATTCAAAATTTCCATTCGATATGTTCTTCTTACATGAAATTGATTTATTTTATGAATTGATAATACATGGTGTTTCGTGAATGCTGATGTTTAGGAAATAAAGTTCAATGAGCCACCTCGTATTATTGGGTTGATTAAGGCTATTGATTATAATTTTTGAGGATACATTATGATGCATTTCATGGTATACAGAGTGATTTATTAATTGAAAAAATTTCCAACTACAAAAAAATATTGAAAAACCACTGTTTTTTTCCATCACCCTCTAATTCTAGAATTTCCCCGTTACGGTCAGATTTTCCATTGATATTCTAAGTAATAATACCTCAATGAGATGAAGAATTTCCAGCTCCTTGCTCTGACTAGTTTTTCATATATTGAATATAATGAAAGTGATTACATACTCAGATTGAATATCTACTGCTTCGAAACAAAAATATTACTTGTAGAATATATTACTGTTACTGAGATATTTCCATAGTAGATGAAAAGGATGCATTTCTCAACTTCAACACCCTGTATCTCAAAAACTCAGATTCAGATTCAGATTCGGATTAGGACTCGGCATATTTGATCATTAGGTCGAGTTCTATAATATACCAGAAATGGAAATTCGACAGAACGCCATTTTGATATAGAAAAAGTGCGCGGTCCTTTATGCGAAATCGTTTATTTGTATTTTTGATTGCCACTGGCAGAA